AGTACACTTATTGAAGAAACACTACAATAGCTTCACTATTTAGTTATACTAAATTACGTAAGTACTGCAAAGATATAACCAAATAAAAAGCACATATCCACCTTGTGTAGATTTTATCCATGGACAAAGATTTTCAAAACAGTTTTGCAAGGAAAAAGAAGCACAAGTATAAACTGTAAAACGAAACTAAGAAAGGACAGTATGTCCTTTCAAAACACCTCCAGAGATAGAAATCAGTTCAGTATTTTAAATCCTCAAACAAAATCACAAATGCAAGTATTTTAGCAGGAATTAGTGCCCTAATAGTTACTAGCTGCCTTGTAAATCTTTTAGATTTCCATTACATTTAGACTCTACAAATTGTAGTCAGTTATGAAAGTTTACTTTACAGGTACTTTGAAAGAATTTGGTAATTAATCCCTAGACTTACACTTCAAAGAAGTTTCAAGAATCATTTTCCGTATCTGGCAATAATCCTCCCAAACAAGATAACAGGGAAAAGAACGGCCTGTGGGCTGACACGTAAGCAGAAGTTTGTAAGATGGCAGGCACTAGCACTGAAAAATAAAGAATATAAAGCAAGATAAAATAAATACATGTATGTAAAAACCTGCTCAGTTTTACAGTTTTGGTCACTGTCAGTTTTCAAATTCTAAAGGTTTGTCATTAAAACTTTAAGAGAAGCAGTAAGTTCCTAAAAGAACTGCTACTTTTATCACTTCTCTTCAAAAAATGTAGCACAAATACCAAGGTGTTCCACCTGAAGCTAGCTGCTTTTGTATACCTGGTAACTTAATTCTAATTGTGATTTTAAAATAAGTTATTAATAAATGTATGCTTTTCTTCAACGTAATGTGTTTATATTTATAAAATAAATGGGATTATATAATCTCAACAGCTAAACAAACAAATTATCAAGTTATTCTTCACAAATGCCAGTGAAACTATACATAAGACAGATCTTTTACACAGCAGTACATTCTCAAGGCCAAACATGTTAAATATGATGAATATACATGCCTGAGGAAGAGAAAAAAATATTCATACTGAGGACAATACTGTTCAGAAAAAAGCTGCATTTTCTCCCTTAGAATAGTAATAATAAGGACTTGTATCTTAAAACAACTGAAAGTTTTTAAATCAAATCATGCCATTGACTGAGGGCAATATGAATGTCAAATTTTCAATTGTTTCTGTCATTACAGTGGGCTAATACTGCCCATTTTGACCATTGGAAAAGTTTGGGAAGGCTGCATTTTTTCTATGTGTCTTTCAGCCAAGTCGCAACAGCATGTTAAGCATTGAAATAGAATCTGCAAACTATTCAGATTTCACACAGACATGCAACAACAATGCTCTAAAGTATCATACACAATTAATTCGTAGATTATTCAGATAAACCTAGAAGGTAATATAGATGTAGCTGAAGTCGGTGTCACTATGAAAAATGTATTGGTAGGTCACATGGGGATCTGTTCCAAGAACCTGGTACAGGAATCAGGATCACAAATGTCTCCCAGATACCTCAAATCTGTTTGCCAGTGATTGCAGGTAAAGCAGAAGTGAAATCTGGCTGCAGACCTTACTAACATTAGGACACCAGTTGCTTCGATAGCCGTGCCTGCAGGTCTTTCTTTTCCCAAGGCTTCTGATCCGTAACTCAAAGGCTAACTTGTTTTAGCCTTGTTTAGGATCCCTTTGTCAATTAAGCTTTTGCAAGAGCCCCATATATAATTTTACTATTTAAGTAGGATTAAAGAACAATGTGATTAACTCCTGAAAAGAGGAATAGGCTGAGGGCAGTGAATAGTGTTGCATATCCTCTGCCATGCCTTTCCCCCCCAACTCTGTACCTACACATAGAGATGACAGATTATATATTAATTGTCCCTCACAAGTCATGAGTATCTGGACAGGTCTGGTATATTACAGGAGTTCGTCAGCAAACAGTGACATTCTGACAGTTCAGGTAATTGTATTTATTAGTCTCCTTGTAATGGAAAGCTCACAGATAGAGAACTCAAATCTCTTAGGGTCTCCTAGGGAAAAAATCCTTAAGAGTGCTTTTAAACAACTGCACTGTACTTTTCCTTCTAGCCCGACTTACTCAAAATATTTGAAACATTTATTCTTCTTTCAATTTTATCAGTTGAAAAATTGGATACACTATACCTATTTCTTAGTCTTTCTAGTGGAAAAACAAGAACAGTTTTCATTCCAGAGACCTCCCCAGCAACTCCTGAAGGGCGTCTTCCATCCTGCCCAAATATTCATCAGGAGTGGTAGGAGAATAAATTTTCCAGACTCCTTCAGTGACAAGAATAAGAGGGCACAACATTTCACAAGACTGTTCCAGCAGACCAATAGAGCGCTCACGTTCCTGAGTCTCTTCCTCCTGCCCCGTATCGCTACCATGTCTCTAACAGTTGCATTGTCACCGAGCAATTCAGTCAGGGACCTTAGGTAAACAAGGTTATTTGTAGGTAAACAGGGCATGGATTCTAGGTGGGCATGGATAACCTCAGAGAACCTCAAGTTGCTCCCAAGTTGTTGATACAGATGTTTTAGTCAAAGAAAATAAGATGACATCCACGTTTCCATTAGTTCTCAAAGGGAGAAAAATCTCTGCAATGGGTGCGAACCTTTTCATTCCTGAGCATTACTGTCTAAGTTTTGCAACTTCTTAGTATTGAAAACTATCAGATGTTACCAGATGCCACCCACAGACTTCTTAAGGTATACGAGGGCTCAACGCCTAAGGTAATTTACATCTGGAACTACATAAAACAAAGCATCTCTTCTCATAATATGTGTAGGTGGTACATAGTTGAAAAAAGCACATGGCCCATGACTTACGCTTTTTCCCTTAGGAAACGGACCAGCTACAAAAACTACATTACCGCACAATTCACATCAGACTGACACAAAAATCAGAGATAGTACCCAACAACCTGAAGGGTCACACAGCTTACTAAAATTTGCAGATGCTTCTGAAGTCTGACACTAGATCCTTGGTTTAAGAGGTACTAAGAAATTTCTGAGATAATTCCCTTCTAAAATGAAAAGACACTTTCAAATTCAAAATTCCCACTGCAAAATGCCCCTGTAGGCCAAACTTGTAGGTAAATAATGAACTCTGGAGAGAACAGAAAAAACATACAAAAGGAGACCAAAACAATAGTTCTTCCTGAAAAGAAGAAACTGCTTGTCACATGAAGCAATTGAAGTAGGAAAGAGAGAAGTCTGCTGTATTCAGGGCTTTGCAGATTACTTAAGTCTTTCTCAGCAAGAATTCCACCTTCATGTTTGTCAGTCACAACAGAATGGCCACAACCCCCGAGATCCCCTGCATCTATGAGTGCTGCTATAACGCAGCAGATGTTATATCACATATATCTCATGCTCCACCTCAGCACACGGCAGATGCTGATCAAAAGGGAGCCGATTCATAGGCTTGATGCTCACCGGGACTCACCTGCCTACACATCCTCCTCTGCAGGCACTGCATGGACTGCCTTCACTGTTGCTCCCTGCTGCCCTAGTGCATCAGAGACCAGAGCTGCAGACAAAAGACAGTGGGGAGGCTTTGGCAGAAGAGGGTAAAATTGCTAAGTAGAGGGCCAAGCTGGCTATTTGGTATGGATTTCATAGCAGTTGTCAAGTCAGGTAGAGAAATTTTGAAAGTGGAAAGAAAGGGAAGGTCAAACTGTTATGGACTGAGAGAGGAATGGGAGAATGTGATACAGTTCAATAATCACTAAATTCAGGAAAAAAAGTCTCGAAGACATCATTTCAGAAGCATAAAATAGCAAGTCACTTAAGCTCCAGTTTTAGTCAAAAGATAACTTTTACGATAACTTTTAAAATTAAAACAGAAGTATGGGATTTGCGCAGTAATTTCTTACAACCATGCAAATAAGACTCAGCAGTAAAAGGGAATCCAGCTGCCAGTCTACTCTGTAAGCGGGCAGGGAAATAGAAGACACGCAGGATATACAAGGGACACAGTCCACGGTCTAATTGATAGGATTTTCGTTTTATACATCAGGATCATTAGACAAAAGATTGAGTGAAGGCAGCTATTGTAAGCAGTGGATTGTAAGAAATTTGTAAATAAGGGACTCCTTCATCAAGTACTCTGGCAGGAAAAATGTAAGCTCTATTTTAATTCTTTTTAGATAATACAATTTATTTAAGAAGTTGGTCAGCTCTTAAGATACAAAAAAGTTAGTCTGCAACACAAAGTGCCACTACCACACACATCTACGATATATAGAAAATTTTATTTTATAAACTGTTGTGAACAAAACAGACTTCATATGGAGAAGCCAAGGACAGAGTTAATGTTTATTTACATACTGAATTTAGACTGTGTGCTAGCAGATCTCTCTACAAGGTCTTTTTTATCTCAGAACACAACTCCCCCATATTATAGGCACTTAACGGACAACCTGCAGTTTACTTATGACAAATTTTCACAAACATAAAAGTTTATCTACTGACCCAAAATAAGTTACAATACTATTTGCACATGAAATATGGAGTTTTATCAGCAAACTGCAAAGAAAACTGAGGCAACTGTACCATTCTAATGAAACAGTGTTAGCTACCATTAATTATATACAGTCAGTTACATATAACACACTAACAAAAAGTTTTCACTTCCTCATTATTTACTCTGAAGTGCAAACAGAATGCACACCTCAGCTGCCACATCAATAATTATTTTTCTTTCACACACACTTATTTCCTGCATTTCCCAGGCTTCAAACACATTGCTCCACAGCAATAAAAAACGTTTTCTGGTTGTGTGCATCACATTCACAAGTTTGTCTGCTGGGAAACTAAGGAGAAGGAAGAGGCAACTTTACAAACACCACAACCCAAATTTCAACAGCATAGGAGAGATGTTCTAGAAAACATTGCAGCACCTTACAGCAGTTTCAAAGTGGACCCGTCACTTGTACACACTGTGAAGTTTCCTCAGAAGTCTCCATCAGCTAAATATGTGCTCTCACTTTCCATGTTGATACCTGTTTAACTTCATCAGTTCTTATAAGGCTAGATTTTGTATTTGGCTTCAGACTGCAATGTCCAACCTGGGGAGCAGGGATTGAATTAAACAAAATTATACCCAAGACAACTGAATGAGAATATGTTTACAATAAAGAGTTTGGAAGAGTTGTTTTGCTACTCTTAACAGAATAAAATAGTAAGCCTGTGCAATTGCTTTAAGTACATTTATTCTTCAAAACACTCAAGGGTAAACAACTAGAGGCTTGATTACAAGCTCATGAGATTATTCTGCTTTAACCAGAAAAAGCCCATCTTTCTGTATCTACTCCTGAACATGCTGGCCTTAAGCAGTCCCTCTTCCAGGACTTCATAATTCAGCTGTTAGATCCTGGAACAAAAGCTATTCCATAAACAAGCTGTTCCAGGATATAACTTCTATCTTTGTATCTAGAATCAGGTATGTCAGCTATGCAATCCAATGGTCTGCAGCATCCAAAATACAAGCCTGGCTGTTTTTAACAAGTTTCTAATTTTTCCTGGGGGTCAGGGAACAGTCAACAGGGAAATTTTTTAAGACTGCACCAGAGCTGTTGACTCACTACAGTCTGTAAAATATATGCTACACTTTGTTTGCAAAATCCTTGTGGCATCTGAAATTAAAAAAAAAAGAAAAAAGAAAAAATCTTATAGCTGGAAATAGAAACACACACCTTAGTTTTCCTGAAGTTTTCAGCCAAGCAGCAGCCTTCAAAGAATGTCTGGATTTCCATATGTTTTGCATTATTATTTCCCTCCATTAGGCTAACAAATGCCACAGTTCAAATCTCTATCTCACTCTTAAGATATAAAGATAGAATTACTGAGCAGAGACTTAAAATTACTGCCACTTCTATCCATCTCATCTAAGCAGTTCTGAGGTTTGTGGAAGTCCCTAACAAATAACCACCAGTACTGCTGGACTGTGTAAACTGAAGTAGCTTGCACAGGCTGCTCTACAGAAACCAGCGCTCAGAATCACCTCAGTCCAATGGCTCTGTCTACCGCACTTTTCTTGTTCATACCAAACCCTGTATTTTGCATGGGCTTTGCAACAGCTTTCAGAATCACATCTCATTCTGGATAAAGATGCAAACTGTGTGGAAATAATACTACCTCAAAGAAAAATATTACAGCCAATGTTTTCATTTTAATTTCTGAACACATAACACATATTAGTCTGACCTCTCTGTACCTTCCTAGCATCTTTATTTGTAATATTAGTTATTCACTAAGTAGTTAGTATTACTAAATAGACACACAGTTTCTATGCATGGATACCTGCCAGTTACCATAACGCAAATATCTATTGTTCAATCAACTATGAGCTGAATTTTCCAAGTCAGTCATCTAAGTTTTTCCTCTTGGTGCATACAGAAGTGTATTCACCAGTCTAAATCCACCCAAAATAATTAAACTTTGAGATTCTCTGCCTTGATTATACTTGAAAAAAGCAACTACCTAGGCTGATAGCTTAAAAACATTGTAAAGAAGTTGTAGACTTGTAAAAACCCTGCAACTGTCCATGAAAACAGCAGTCACTTCAAGAATATAAAAACCACATTCTTGTATAAAGACATACCAGTGGGATCTCTGGACTAGAAAATGGGGAGCTATCAAAAGATCGATTTTCTTTGTCCAGGGAATCATCATCATCATCATTTTTATGTGCAAATTTCTGCTTTAGTGCATGAGTCAGTAGGGCAACTGGATCCCAGTCGGAACTTTGCCTCTTTTTGGGTCTAGAAAGAGGAGTACCTCCGGGTGACCTACAAAAAAAGAAAATTATTTGTCTCCTGCCCTTAATCCTGTGCTGAGTGATACAAAAGTTGTGTTTCTAGATTTTTGGATACACCCTATCCTGTAAAACCCCAATTACACAAATAATGCTGCTAATGTTATTTTACAGCAATTGACCAATCAGGACTAATACAAGTACACCCAACAACTTGTCAGCCAGCTTCTTAGCTTGAAAATACAACTTAATGCAGTTCCATAATGAAAAATGGCAGTAAATCAACACAAAGAATTAAAGTATTGCAAAATAATGTGGAAAAAAAAAGCAAAACGTGCAGCTTTCATAGCGGGTCTCATTTGTAAGTTATATTAAGGTATGTTAGTGAGAATCTATCACTAACATTTCATAACCATTGTGAACATAATTTGATTTAAATTTCATTAATTTTAAGTTTAGAACAGTATGCCTTTCTATGGTCTCACGAGAAAGAACAAACTTAACAAATTCCTCAGAGCAATTACACTTAAAGAAAACAACCACTTTGTGGTCACCTGGCTGCATATTTGACTTAAACAAAGCCCCATTTATAAACCACACTTGCACTCAAGTTTCATTATAAAAAAAAATTATCATCAGGTTTGGCACAAAGGCTTCAAAGACAGTTTTTCCCTCCAAGTGAGCAACTGAGCATCCAAATATGAAAATTTTATAGGTAAAAATTAAGAAGTAGAGTTTATAATTTAATTTAGAAAAACTGTTCTTATCAAATTCAAAATCAAAAGATAGCACAGAGATGTAAGATCAAACAGCACCTGCACCCCAAAACCCAACATAAATGTAGAAATTAGTGACTAGCCCAAGAAAATAAATCATAAGAAAAGCTTCCTAACCATTACGATACCTGGGGGGGGAAAAAAAAAATCTAGATATAGTCACCCTTCTGCTAGTAAAGTGCTATCTCCAGGCCAATTTATTAATTGTACCTATTAATGCACACTGACAGCACTGAGCTCAAAGTCTGGCAGTTACAGTTAGATGCCAGTTAACATGAAACCTGAAGGACTGAGTTCACCGTTCCTACAAAATCAAGCTGTTAGAGCCCTGGCCTGATGTGTAAGCTGGTGCTCAGGTAGTAGAAACTGGAATCTTCAGGCTCTCAACTTCTGAGAACAGAGGTCTTCCCTTTACAGTGCACACATTAAACTACCGTCAGACTGCTGCCTGAAAGATTATAGCAATTTTGATCATCATTACTCCCTCCAACAATATAAATACATTATTTAGTTAAGTTCTACCTTCAGAATACGGGTAGATGCCTAAATCCAGACAGCATTTCAGATGCACACCTGCCACTTCCTACTAATTATGCTCCTGCTCAACATGATGGGTATTAGAACTGTCAACCTGAACATTTCACTTTCTTCATTCACCTTACATGGAATTATACAGAAGAAAACATATATAAGGAAACACACAGTTTTTCCAGAGTTGCATATAGATAATTTGCCCAAGACTTGTGCTAGTTATTTTCAGGGATAAAGCTCACAGTTAAGAATATGCTGAAGTAAGAATGCAGTAATTTTTGGTGACATTCTTCCCACATTAAGAGCTCCAAATATTCATTATAGACTCAGTTGTTCTTACATACTTTTTCAACTCAAGAAGTTCAGAAAGGACATCTGACAACCTCTATTACACCTAGCATAGCAACACTGACCCAAAGAGGTATTGCAGTCTTTAGCAATGCATTTTGTTAACGTCAACTGTGCTTACCATCAAGACAGCAGACGTTAAAAATATTTATAATCCAACTGCACTATTGAAATACAAATTCATGAAACATTTTCAATAAAAGATACAGCATGTATTTGCTTTAATACTTCAAAGGTAGGATGAGAATGCGGTGGGTATGTTGACAGTAGTTTTCCAATGTTTCCCCAAGGATTTGCCCTTTCACAGTGAATCCAAAAAGTTTGTTTGTTCACATCAATTTCCCTGTGACTGCGTAGGCAACTTTGTAAGTGATCTCCAGATAGCAACACACCCACCTCCCCATGCCAACCTGAGAGTTGTATACTAAAGCAGGAGACTAGTTTTAAATGCTGTGATACTCAGCGTGCTTTAAATGTACCTAAAAGCCACGTCACAAGTATCTTACATTCCAAGCTGTGAACTTAGAAGTTGCCAACTGAAGTTTGTCAGCAGTAGCTGCTCATTCAGTGATGTTTCACGTTGGTGTTCTCTGGTGCTACTTATGTGCTGCATTGCTTACATAGTCTTGGATTACTCAGATACACATTCAATTCAACCTACCTCTCGATAGCTCGCAACTGAACTTTGTTTAGGTCTTTCAAAACATCCATCATACTAGGAATGTTCTTTGTCCTCTGGTGATCAGCACTATCAGCTGTAGTTGAACTACTGTTTCTTGCAGCACGACGTTGTTTTATAAGTTCGATTGCTGAATTACTAGCATCAACACCAGATGGTACAACAGAAGGAAGTGGAGGCGGTGAGGGAATTACAAAGTGATTGTGAGAGACGGACAATGGCGTAGAAGTCATGGCTGGCACTGGGTAAAATCCATCTGGAATGCTGAATGTTTTAAAGGCTTCTGGATGCAGTTATAAAAGAAAAATAGTGATCTTATTTTTAGTCAGTATACTTTCACAATTAACAATATTAAGCAACGTCTAAGATGACTCAGTTTTAAGTCAAGATACGACAGCCCTCTTAAAGCACTTTCTTACACACCTCACACATTATACCACAGAAGAATTATATTTAAAACAAATATTATTTTTTATTTCGAAGCCACAGATTCAGAACACATGAAATAATGGATCTGAGGTGTCTTGTGCTGCCCTGATTTTCTCCATTTGTGTCTTCAATCTAAGCACTAGATAAATCAGCAAAGCAGCACTGCAACAGCAAAGCAGCCTGCTACTACACACAGTTCATTCTCAATGGTCTGAACATTAGAATACCCCACATGAAGGAAAAAAAAAAAAAGAAGCTAGCCACAAAACATGTAAAATAGACTACAATACTGAGTGCAATGGAGAAGAGACAAAAGAAGAGCCAACAGAACACGTAAACGAAGCACAGAGGTGCCCGAACTACTGTTTTAAGTCCACTAGGCACAATGCATATAAATGTAACTCCCTCACATCAGTTCAAATGTTTCACAGTGCAAGTCAATCAAGACCTCAAAACTCTTGGTGGGTGGAGAATTAAAAAAACCCAACCAAACAAACAAAAAAAAAAACCACCCAAAAAAACCCAACCAAAACCCACACGATAGTTTGTCTCAAAGTTCAATCTTTGATTCTCTAGTGGCTGTTAGACACATCTATTGCAGCACTGGTTTTTGTTAAAGCCTGAGCCTGCCTTACTTAGAATGCTTTTTTTTATCCATTGTTTTGATAACTTGTCAGAAACAGTACAAAAACCAAAAGGGATAATTAATAGCCTGTAACTTTTTAAAGCAGTAATTGGTAGCCTGTGGATAGCGTTGTTACTAAGCTCCTTCACCAACATGGAAATGAGTATAAAGATCAGTTAGGATCAACTGCATTCAAAACTGGCAAACAGGCCATGAAAAAAATGGGGGGGGCAGTGCCAAATGATGAAAAGAGAAACAAAATACTGTATTCTGTAGATTTTGTTGGTGTACCTTCAGTTAGAGAAATCAGAGATGTTCTTTAACAATATCAGACATGGCAACTGTGAACACGAACTCTAAAGCAAAAAAAAGGAAAACTGGTTTGGTTCAAACCAGAAGGCCTTACGTGGCGGAATGCTTCCCGGTGTCTGTGCTGAAACAATTAGAGCAATCTGAGCACGAAGAAAGGTTAGCTCATCTTCAAGCGCAGAAATTTTCTGGAGTGCTGCTTGATCAACAAGACTGTCTTTTTGTGTACTGGTCTTTGGAACACTTTGTATTGAATCTATAGGTGGATGTAAGTCACGATAAGCTGTACTTTTTTCTTTTCTCCACAATTCAGTCCTTGAAAGCAACAAAAGACACAGTTTCAAAAGGCTCAGTCAGCAATGGAAATGTCAAAACTTACTCACTGTCTGTTCAAAAAAGTTACCGCCATTCACCAAGACACAAATTTGCAAACTATTTAAGAAAACTTTAAACTACTCGTAACCTTAAAAATATTTTAAAGTCTCCCCTTGTTCAAATACAATGCAGATCAAAAATCATCATAAAAAAATAGATAATTTACTCAGGGATAGATTATACATCATAAGGTCATAATGTAGGATTGAGCTGTTGTTACTCAATAACCATTAGACTGACACCATAAAGGGGTGTCTCCCTCCTCCCTACCTGAAAGAGTAGATATGAAAGGCAGGAAGAGTCAAATAATAACGATCTCTTAATTAGGCTTCACACATTTTAGTCATTTATCAAACGCTGCAAGATGAACAATGCAAGCAGCAAAGAAGTTGCGATCTTTCAGAACACACATTGGAAAATAATAATGAATTTTAATACACACTTATAGAATAAGAACCTCATCTTCTGTAAGCTACATATGAACATGGACTAAATGAGAAAATTGTGCTACAATTTTTTACTTTCAAAAATTGTTTCAAGTCTGTGCTTGCAGAAATAACCTTAAAATACAGAATGAGTGTAAACTCAAACCAAGTTTTATGAAACAAAGAAAGAAATTCAATTTACTTTATGTATTCAAGATGCACTAAGTTTTGACTGAAACAAAACCAGACCTTTTCCCTTATATTAATCATCCTTTTACTTCAAATCAGACCTGCAGCATTGCTTTCTGATTTGCCAAAACCCCTCGCTCTTCACACTGGCTCAGAAGGAAAAGATATCAATTAGAATACTTGTTCTTGAAAAGCATCCCACAGAGCCAGGAGAGGACAAGGATGAAGAAAGAATGAAAACAACAAAAGAATGAACTTTCACGGATTTGTGAATCAGACCACCTAAAGAACAGCACAAGCACAACAAAACAGGACACAGTTCCTTTCAGTAATATTCTTACTCTTCCAGTATTTTACAGCTGCTGCAAAAAAAGCCTTCAATAATTCAACAGTAACACCTCAGGAATCATAATATGAAACACAACTTTATCAAAACTTCTCTAAAAAAGTGTCATTTCATCAGTTTCTTATAGTTTCATTACCAGCAAGCAAACATCACGCAAAGATCACAAACACCAATGCCAATATGAAGCAGAATTACATTGTCCGATACAGATGTAGCACAAGACAATAAAAGTGTCCAAATTTTATTCTTGGTTCTGGCTCTGACTCATCCTCTGATTTTGAGCAGATCCTTTAGAGGAACAGTAAGCCAACTTTCTATTTCTTCTCGGGGGGTAGGGGAAAGATACTTGTGTACTATTTGTATCTGCAAATTCCTGCATAATTTGTCATTTCACAGTACTTGTAATATTTTATAGTTGTAAAAATATTTTATTTTAGAACTCTGTAAAAGCTAGATATTCAAGGTAAATTTTTAAAATGAAGAAACTATGTTTTGCTTTCCATCAAAGCAAACATCAAGGTTTACACACATAGCACTGTAGTAATCGATGTCAAAAGGAGACATTTAATATTTTTTCTTGTTCTCCCCTTTGTAATGTTTATCAAAATGCTTGTAAACTAAAATGATAAAGATAAGAATAACCTTCTTGTATGTTGCAATGCATAAGTTTCCCTTAAATTCCCTCTCTCATAAAATACTTTGTGAGAGAAAACAAATTAATATATCAGTAATGCAACTGATGTGCTATTAGGAAGTGAAAAGGGACTCAGATTTCAGAAATCTTTCAGATAAGAATACTCTATACATAATAAGAACTTCCAGGTAAGCAGGAACTGCCACCCTAAAAAACCCCAAAATTTCCAAGGCTGTTTTAGCTGGAAGCCTGAAAGGGCTGAGGGGGGGCGGCACGGACAGGATGGGACAGGAACAGGCCAAAAAAACACGCAAAATCACACACCACAAAAAAGAGAAGACAGAAGCTACTTTTATTAGTCCTTTTCATGCGTATATTCTACTTTTACTTACCTAAGTCTAGTAAATGCTTGTCCCTCATCATTTGCCACCCACAGGACATCAGCAAGTGATGGAGCTACAGGAGCTGGAGCTGTGCTTTGTTCATCATAACCCAACGGACTTGGGTCTTGAACAAGCTAAAAACAAATGAACAAGATAAAAAAAAAGTATGAAGAGAAACCAGATTCAGCACAAGTTCTGCCTAAGCAAGAGAAATTTTTAAACAGTGCTGTAAGCAAGTTGATAATGGTGAGCATAATGGATGCAACACAAGAGTTACACAAGCTAAAAAGAACAGGAAAGGGATCACTACATTAAGAAACTTCAAAACTTAAATAGTTGAAGCATATGTATAACAATAAACCACTTACTTGAAAATAAGGTCTTGGGTAGGGCTCTAAGGAAAGAATTGTCCCAAGTCTACGGACAACACTTCGAGTAGATCCATATTCCTTTTTTTGGCAAACAGATATGACCTAAAAATCAGAATACCTTTTAATCTGAGAAGCAAAACCAAAGCCCTCAGTTATTAAAATCAAAGTTATTAAATAATTTAATGTTACACATAATTAAGTATAACGCACTTAGGTTAACCTAACTTTTCAATGCTGCTCTCAAGCTGAAAGTCCAAAGAAGCCTACACTGATTTTAACACACTGCTTCCAAAACACCACCAAGATACAGCCAGTACCCAGTTGTCATGGTTTAACCCCAGCCAGCAACTAAGCACCATGCAGCTGCTCACTCACTCCCCCTGCCCTGGTGGGACAGGGGAGAGAATCAGAAGAGTAAGAGTGAGAAGCGCTCCTGGGTTGACATAAGAACCATTTTAAAAATTGAAATACAGTAAAATAGTAGTAGTAATAGTAACAATATAATAATAACAGTAATAATAATACACAAATCGAGCGACGCACAATGCAATTGCTCACCACCCGCCGACCGATACCCAGACAGTTCCCGAGCAGCAATCGCTGCTCCCCAGCCAACCGCCCCCCCCACCCAGTTTATATACTGAGCATGACGTCATATGGTATGGAATAGCCCTTTGGTCAGTTTGGGTCAGCTGCCCTGGCTGTGCCCCCTCCCAGTTTCTTGTGCACCTGGCAGAGCATGGGAAGCTGAAAAGTCCTTGACTAGCATAAGCAGTACTTAGCAACAACTAAAACATCAGCGTGTTATCAACATTCTTCTCCTACTAAACCCAAAACACCACACTATGCCAGCTACTAGGAAGAAAATCAACTCTATCCCAGCCAAAACCAGGACACCAGTATATTTCAGAGTGGCACAAAGGCCAGCGAAGAATGTAGCAGCTACATCATGTAGCTAGTAATAATTCTGAGCTACTGACAAAAGAAAAAGTGCACATTTGAGTAACCACATGCATCTATGTAAGTCTCAGGGAAAAAAAATTAGTAAAGAACTGAAATATGTTTCACGTACCTTGACCTGATACTTCCTTATGACTGTATATAACCGCTGGAAATGCCTTCTTGATGAGACTGCTGAAGGAAGGCACGTTCTGATTGTACGACTGATACTGCTGCCAAATATGCGAGTTTCCAAAAATACGGCCTGTCAAAAAAACCAAGAACTCCCGACAACGTTACTGACATTTTTCCCCCGCTCTGTTCAGAGAAAAAAGAACCACTTGAACGGCTGTATCAGGACAGTGACCCACCGAAATCCCCCACGCGGGCCACATGTCCGCCTGTAC